GGTTGATATTTGGCTTTAAAAAAAAAAAAAAAAAAAAAAAAGCCCTCCCTCCCTCATAATTTTTTTCTTCCAGATAGGGTGATAAACTAATAATATTTTTTATAGGGCCTAAGTTAAAGTAAAATCAAAAGTAAATAGGCCAAAGACAATAAAAGTTAGATTCTTATCAAAAGAAGGATGTGTCCAGTTATTTAATCATTAGCTCAAAGTAAAGTGGTTATGAACGCAACATTAAATCTGATCTTCACAATAATATGAGAAACTCAGATATTTTTTACTTGACCTTAAAGTATTAAACATTTTCTTTTTTATTTCTTTCGCATACAACAGCTAGTAACTGTCAAATTACTGGAGGGAACAGTGGTAAAGTGGGAAAAAGGTCTGCTTTTGGCAAGCATCTGTAACACTAGAGTAAGCTACTATATGAAAACTTCACTCTACCAATATTTATTTCTTAATTAAGTAACCAAGAGCAATAAAATAATGCTACTTTACAGTCAATTGTATTCTGTTTTAAAAGGCATTTGAAGTTTAAAAAAAATTTCTAATCCCAATTTAAATTTATGTAACTTAATAGTCAATTTGCAAATTACCTGCATTTGCTAGTACATGGAATATCTGGTGTATTATACTCAGATGATGATGAAAATAACAAAGGCAAGACAAGTAGATTACACAAAACCGCTAGTATACAAATAGTGAAAACCACCACAACAATCATTTGTGTTTTCCTCCATTTCGAGATGGCCTTTTCACTTGCCGCTGTGTAACCACCGTTTACAAACATGTTAATTTCAGTCCTTTCTGTAAAAAAAAAAAAAAAAATCAAATAATACTCGATGTTTATAATGTTTAGAAACAAACTATATCATATCTATAATAAAGGTATAATTGTATCTGAAGCATCCATGGCCTGACATTTCTTTAATTACCTTCCAATTTCCATACAATAGTGTTTGCTTCAGAGGAAACAATAGTGAAGTTGTTCCCACACACTGTAAATTTGAACAATCCAGCCTTGACCTGACCATTTGCATAGCCTACAATAAGTTTTACCTCAAAAACCTTGGTTGTGGAGGGGAGGTTTGTTGAAGCAAAAAATAATTTACAGCAGTGTTGGCGCCATCAGGGGGGAATTTTTTCCCCAGTCGGTCAGGCCTGGACCCCCCTGTTGTCCGACGTACGACTACGGATCAAAAATTAAAAAAAAATAATAATTTGATTTTTGTGGTACTTTTAATTTATTTATTTAATTTGGTTGGTGATGTACAGCGCCACGAGCAAAAACAATTTCTATGTCTCTGACAATGATAATAAAACTATATTTCCTGTATCTGTATAATTTGCTTATCAAAATAATGCTACTTTGATCACAAATCCCTAATATCGTGGTCTAAAAGCACATTTTGGACCATACTCTAAACATAAAAACTCTCCCTGTAAACACTACCAGGGATATTTTATTCCAGGACGTCGACCGAGGCTTCGTTGGTCCCTTGGTTCTTACCCCTCTGTCAGATATGTCAGCAAATTTCTGGCACCCCCCCCCCCACACTGGTTTACAGTAGAGATATTTTATAATGGAATATTTAAAAATGTTTTTTTCTTTATCAGTAGAACTTTGATAGCAACAATAATGAGATTCAGATACAGCAAAAGATAACAACTGTAAAATTAGTTCCTAGTTCTTATTCAAAATGGAATTAAGGCCACAGGAATGAAAGTTGTAGGTTTGCGTCCACTGCCCGCATGCCTAAAAAGCTACCGCACAAAAATTTTCATTATTTTGAAAAAAAAAAAAAACTTCGTTTTAAAAAACGGACTTTTCGTAAACAGACAGAAAAACGATCTATTCATCACTGATCACTCGTCGCGAACACCGAGCGAAGGCAGGCCTGGCCACATCGCACCATGATCGCCAATCACTGCTGAGGTCATTTACGGGTCAAATCGATCTTTCTGACCAATAGGAAATCTCGTATGTTTCAAGTCTTAAATGTAGAAAAGGATCTGTTTTATAGGCTAGTGTACATTTATGACTGTAAGCATTGTTTCTTGGGAATAAATGTAAAATTACCAATGCCGCGGCTTGTGGACAGCATTTATAAAAAAAATAATGAAAAATGAAAAAATGCCTCATGTGTTTTCAAAATTTTTCGGACGCAAACCTACAACTTTCATTCTCGTGGCCTAAAGGGTCCTAGGTAATCTTCATTATGAAAAATGTACAGTAAGAAAAAACAGAAAGGTTAAACACATAGGTCTAGAGAAAGCTACAAAGCAATAATGTCAGAGCAAAAGTTACTGTTCTGTACACAGGCCTAGCTAGCCTAGCCTAGGCCCCTAGGCTAGTAAAGTTTAAATTAAACTTTAAAATTTTAAATCGTTTAGGCCTAGGCCTATGCCTAGGACCTACCTAGAGTCTAGACTATCCCCCCCCCACCCCTCCTAGTCTAGGCGGTGAAACCATAGACAAGTCAGCATAAAATAATTATTGAAGGGTTTTGTTCTCAGTATGCAGCATGATGCCTAGCCCCAAACGAAAGTAAAAGTAGTACTACTACTAGGCTAGCTCAGCCTTGGGGCCTAGGCCTAGAGAGGCTAGATTTGGTAGGGGAGATCCAGCCTAGCCCTAGCTAGGGCAGGCCACCGTCCATAGCTAGGTAGGCATGCAATGTCATCATTATAGAATAGGTAAACCTGGGAGTTCACAACTCCCTGGGTAAACACAGCACCATACTTACTGATTGTGGAATCCCTAATTAATTGTTCTTTAGGACTACTTCACATTACATTACAATATAACGGTCGTGTGTGACAGCTCTGACTATCAATCATCATATCTAGAATAAACCAAAGACTCAAAGAGGTATAAAAACTAAACTTGCATTGTTTGTTTTGTGCGATCGATTCCAACTGGATTCCTCACAGCCATAGAGCTATTAAACAACTAGAGTGCTGACAAGATGGCGGGGCAATGCAGAGTTGTGTATGTGTACCATCCAAGATGGCTGCCTTAGGAAAGCGCCACCTTCAGGCTTAGTATACATATTATTACCATAAATAAGCCCTCTGACTGAATATTATTTCATTAATGATAATTAGTATTGATAATGACAAATTATTAAACTGTCGTAGCCAAAAAGAAGCCAAGTAGAGCATCTTATTCAAACATTAAAAAGAATTAAAATCGTGTACATTACGCCCATACCCCGCAACGCTCGAGTTTCAAAATACGGGTAACTTGCTGTACTGAACTTTCTGTGTAAATTGAGGGCGCCATTGAAAATTATAGTGATCAGGCGAAATTTGATTGGTTGAATCTATGGCAGCCATCTTGGATGGTACACACACACAGCTCTGCGTATTTCGAACATCGAATACATTGCTGTTAGCGCTCTAGTATTCTTATTATACCTCTATGCTCACAGCAGACTTTACACGCGTGACCCGAATGAATGACCTTTTAAATACAAACAAAAAACAAAACCAGCCGAGCGAAACAACAACCACCAAAAACAGTCAACAGCACCATGTCGTCGATTTTGCTACTGGTTTGTTTCCTAATTTCTGGAATCAATGCTCTTGGTGAACCAATACAAGTAGATCCAAGTTCAGATGAAGCCCTTGATATTGCTTCTTTTGCCCAAGACGAATTAAATCGACGCAGTAGTAGTAACTCGTTGTACAAAACCAAAGTCGTGGAAGTGAAGAATGTCCAGAAAAAGGTAGGCCTCTCTCTAGGCTTCCTAGGCCTAGGTCTAGTTTAACTGGCCTAGACTTTAGGCTTAGGCTTAGGCCTAGGCCTCTTTCTATTTGCTTGTCATGCCAATGCGTCATGGGGCAATTTGCATAGTTTAGCTTCACTTGAGGCTAAGCCTAGTAGGTATTTTAGATGTGTTTACGTATGATTTTAATGATTGTTTTCCAGCCAGCCTATTGATAAACTTTTGATTCGATTGAGCAATACTGTAGTAGGCCTACATTTGAATTTTCCAAATATTAAATTGATTTAAAAGTGCTCTGTCTTGACCTTTGCATCATTGCGATATAAACACTTCCTTTTATTTCACTGACATTGTGTCTTCATGTTTTGATTTGCTAGCAACTTGCAATGCCTTGACAAATGCATATGAACAGCTACAGTTCCTGTGAGTGCAGGGTTTGGCTTGTGACTACTACTGGTAGCAGGTCAAAAACGGCAATAAACGAACATGGCAATAACCAAAATGGCAATAACCAAAACGGCAATGAACTAAAACGACAATGATAAGTAACAAAACAGGAACAGACCAAAATGGCAATAGGGGCATAGACCAAAACGGCAAAGGAGCGAAATTAATGCCAAGACTATACTGTAGCAAGCGCTACCGAGCATGTATCACGGTTTATAATTTTCTGAATCATTTTGAAATTGTCCCGATATGCAAATTGAATATTGCCATGAGCTCTTTTTCCTGCTTTGAATGTTTTAATGTTTAAATTGCGTTTTTTTTTCATACACATCTTGATAAATTATTTAGATGCTTCATTCAATCTTTTTATTATTGAATTTGTATGTTATATTATTATTATTATTATTATTATTATTATTATATAATGTTCAGAAAAATTGGAGAGAGCTTTCGTATGTTTAACAGTCACCTCACAAACTAAATATTTGGTGGGTTATTTATTGATGCATGTATGTATATTATAATAATAATATTACATTACAATTATACAGTGCACAATTCCAGACCTTCTATGCGATTTGCAACAGAAAAGATCGGGGAAAGAGAGCGATAAAAAAAGATGTCTCAAAACTAACCAGGACTGCCACAGTAAATGCATCGCCACTACAGAGTGGACATCTCTACTGAGCCCCACCCATTGGATATTGTTGCTAAGACAAGACTTTTTTTATTCCTTGTTTTGCTTATTTTTTTTTTGTCAGAGGAGGGCGAAAAAAAAAAAAATAATTTTGTTTTCTATGGTTTTGCCAAAAACATCCAGACGGAGAAGAAAATAAAAATAAAATTTTATTATTGTAATGTAAACAGTGTAGTAATGGGATGGTTAAATGCTTTAAATTTATATAATTAGAATATATATATATCTTATTTTTGGAGATTTCAAGGCAGTGGTGGGCATATAAATAAAAATAAAGAAAAACTTTTATTTTTTTCTGAAATTTCCATTTTTTGTAGCGGCGGGGGTGCTAATTGGCGAAAAATAAAATGTTATTTTTATTTGAAATCAATCATCATCATTGGCAGGCGGCAGGTTTGCTAAACAATGTATAAAAAAAGTCTTGCCTGAGGTCCCACAAAACAACAGCAAAAACTGTGCGTTTGTGGGACAACTTGTGTGTTTGTTTGTGAGACAGATGCATATTATTCCTGGCCTTGTTCTGATTGAGTCAGTTGTCAATTTTGATTGACACACTCAGAAATGTCTATTGACCGGCAGGGATTTGGTTGGTACAGAATCCCCTCTGCAGTATGATCTAATACCACATACTGTAGCCTATTTTAAAAATAGCCTTTACATATTGTATAAGGTTCACAGATGGAAAAGAGAAATGAAAGTAAAAGACACAATAATCAACAATTATTTAATCATGGACCTATTAATAATCTTATTAATAGGTCCATGATTTAATTATGGACTATTTAAACTACTGTACACAATAAATTGAATTCATTGCGTGATTGGTAACACCATAGAGTACTACAGTGTTACGTCGCGATACCATGTGATACTACTCCGTTGCCATCGTTGCAAAATGCGTTCAACCTGACGCCATTTTCACCACTAACAAACCATTGATCCCAATTTCTAACGTAATTATTTAGATGTTGTACATTACTTTTTCTTTGTAAAATTATTGTAAGATTAGCCCTATTTTTAACCAGCTGGATGCAGTATCAAGCCATAAAAAGCTGCAAAATGTAGGAATACCGATGATGAAACAAGGTGGTCGTCTATATATACAGGGTACGCATACAGGGTACACTTGATAAGCAAAAATCGTACAAAAATCTTCTCAAACTGACCTTATATGCAGATTGCTTTATACACCAGTATACTGCAGTTACAGTGATGCTCTATGTGAACAAAAATAGTTAACTGCATGATTTATTTTTGCACAAGTCACAGACCATGTCAATATGCACTTTAGCACTATTATGCTCATTATGAATAAATCTCCTTAATTTATTACTTGTTAAGTTTAATTAAATGCAATTTATCTGGTGGGAGGGCTAAAGTTTGGAAAGATCCATATATAATCACTATAATTACTTACTATTAGTAGGCCTATTACTGAATTTTTTTTAATAAGTTACCTGGTGGCACTTTCACTTTGTCCTCGGTTAATTATTCAACCATGAAAATGGTTAAACATAAAAAGTCACAGTGTCATGTGAGAGCCAATTGCAACATGTGCCAATAATTTTGACTCATCAGAAGTCAAAATCCATTGCATGCCATTGTCTTGGGATTGTTTTGATACCCCTTACTAGATTACCAGTACCATTGTTGTAGAGTATGAGAAAGTGTTCAAAAGAAGTCAGGTGACCCTTTATATACTTCTGATTTTACAAGCTTGTTCCCCATCGGATGGTCATGTAGTTCATTGCAAAGTTTTGGCAATCCACAGTGATGGTCATTTTCGTAGGCCTTTAAAAGATTATTACACTATCTAGGCTGGTAAAAAGTGATGTGAGGGATTTTTTTTAAAATTTTAAGTCATGAGATGGGGGTGCTGATCGGGTGTGAACTTGAGGGTCATTCAAATTTTAAGGTCCTGCATGTGTCTGCACAAATCTAAATGGCAGTTACAGGTATTGTTAGGTATGATCCAAGGATGAGGTGATTAAATTTTGGTGACAACCCGGACTAGGGTCTGGATACAAGGACCATTTAAATGAGAATGTCCCAGACCAGATATTTCAATTTTTTGTCAGTTAAGATGTAAGGAATTGGCAGGTGAACAACTGATACAATAAAAGGCATTTGAAAAATGAAGTAATTAAATTTTGGTGTGGATACAGTATGTGGATTCAAAGCAAAACATCCCAGATCAGATATCTTAAAACTATAATCAACTCATCTGAATGAAACTTTCGTTTTAGTGTAATTTTTTGTAATGGTGGTTGGTGGTTAGAAAGTAGATATTTTGAGGATTTATTTTATAGAAATAGATTGGCGGCGGGCAGAGATAAGCTGTCTACTGAGTGCTCTTACTCTTTCATGAATTTTGATAAGGAACTAGTTACTTTGTTTAATTTCCTTGTGTCTAGCCGTAGCCGAAAAAGAGGACTTTTAAATCCACCGTTTGTTCATGTTACACGTAGAGGTCTACCTATGTACAGTATTACTTATATTTACATCTTTTTTGACAGTTAAACCATTTTTTTTAAGTCAAATATTTTTGGGATGTTTTAACTTATGTATTTATTTTATGTTTATTTATTTATTTTATTTTATATATATTTTTTCTGTGTTTTATCTTTATATTTTATTTATCTGATGTCAACTTTCAATTTGATGTTTTTATTTATCTCTGTGAGTTTTAATAGAAATAAAAAAAATAATAATAAAAAAAGAATTTTGGCACAATTAAACAAAAATACCTATGTAGCACGCTTTGTTATGTACCACACTTTCATTGGAAATCGCGAAATAATTGCAGTGGAAACACTAAAGTGCCAATGGAAACCATTCTTATGTGATGAGTGTTTATATAAATATGGTGCACTCACTTGATTCACTCTTGTTTTATCTGAAATACTTCCTCATTTATGTTTGAAATTTATGAGGTAATAATATCTATATTAATTATTAATTACGTATTAATTGTTTTTGAAGCTTGTTTCTGGAATTCTTTATGATTTTGATGTATTGACGGCTGTCACGCTCTGCTCAATAAATGATGCCACCAAACCAGAAGAATGCGAAATCAATCCAAGAGGGATGGTAAGTTATCTCCCCTTAGTATGAGGCCCAAAAAAATATAATAACATGCACATTGACATTTAGAATCAGGGTTGGTCGTTCAGCAATTGTTACAAGGCCTAATTAAAATGGTTCATTACTAACCATTTCTCACATCATTCATTTTGGTTAGTAAAATGGTAATCACAGAACTGCAGTCTCAAGACCAACTCAGACAGCGTTGTACGACTCAGCCGTTGTGGCGTAGGGCTTGCAGGAGTTTATCTATGACACCATAGGTCTGTGTCGGGGACAGTCGCGTCATAGAATATTAACATTTTTAATATTTCTCACGATGGCTTAAGACTGTTCCCCGATGATAAATTTTGTCCGGCTGCTTTGCACTGTCTGAGTTGGCCTTCAGTCTATAAATATACAGTACAAGTATTTTAGGCTTTTCTTATGTAAAAAAATATATTTTTTCTATTAAAAAATTGCTGACCATGGATTTTGAAGACTCCAAATAAATTTTGTCAAGGAAATATAATAAAAATTTAATGGAAGTTATACAAACTTGTAATGTCGTGAAGCTTATATCGAGACAACTTGTAAATATGAACATGGAAATTAATGATGACATAATTAATGTCAAAATATTGAATCCCAACACGATGGCATGTATTTCAATACTTGGAGTATGTATTATACTTTCTTATCTGAGATTAATCAGTGGACCTTTCGGTTTATTGAAATTGAAGTTTTGAAACATTCCTACGAGGAAGTCATTGATCAAAAACCTGATTATTTATATTATAGCTAGAAATTGTGTTTGTACATGAAAGGTAATTCACCTCAAATGCCTGTAAACTTTGGCACATTTCCATTAATATGTTGATAAGGAAGTTATTGTATTTCAACACTTTGTCAACTTCTCCCTAATTTCCTCAAAGTATGGGATCTCTGTATTTTTAAATCTGTCAATGATTTATCATGATTTTGGTGATAGTGGGTCTTATGAATAAAGTTTCTTGTTTTTTGTTTTTTTTTCTTTTAGCACAAATCTTTTTCTTCCTATTTGAAAAGTTGTATTTGCTTATCAATTCTTGACATTCTTGACTCTTTTGACATTTCTAATCCATGAAATTTATTTTTACAGAAAGAAATTTGCAGTGTGACAGTGTGGGTGAAGCCATGGCTAAATTTCAGAGAAATTCAACCGGGTTTGAAGTGTACCCCTGCTCCAGCTGATGTCACCCCTTCCCAGGATGACGACAAACCTCTGAATCTTGTCCATGTACCGCTTATGAAGGACACTAAAGAAGACAAAGTAAGAATATTTTTGTAGTGTATATAACTGGATTGTTTTAAAAGAGAAGCATTAACAGTGCATTGTACACCTTCTTATATTGCATTGACCACCGTTCTATGTTGCTACTGCATGTTTTTTCTCCACTTCTTACTTCTGGTAATTCCCACCCTTGGACTCCCACCCCTCTTTATTCCTCACCCCACTTTTTAACCATTTGTAAATGCTACCCCTTATTTTTACCACTTGTATAACCCACCATCTTATACCAACCTTCCTTTGTGCTTGTATCCCCACCTTACTGCACCCATTTAGGATTGGGATTGGATTTATTCGGTGAAAACAACAAGGATAGCCCACGAAAATCTGGAAGAAGACTTATTTCCAGTGGGGTCCTTCTGGTGGTGACAGTACACCGGGAGACAATCCCCTACTCTTTTCCGAAGAGTGTACTGTGTTCTTTAAGGTGCACGTAGGCCATAAATGCACACGGGACCAACGGCTTAAACGTCTTATCCGAAAGATGGTGCGCTATTGTAACTTATATTTCAGCCCTCTAGCTGAAACACAAGAAGAGGCAGCGATGTGAATTGAACCGGGGACCTAGAGATCGCCACGGTTCAGCACACACACAGTGGCTACCACCAGATTAGCCGACTGAGCTAAGCTGCTCTCTTGAGGTATTTAAGGTATCCTAACCTCTTGTCCCGCTCTCCTAAACTCATATTGTAAGTAACTTATTTTAAATGAGTATGACAATATGTTTACCAGGTTGATCTGTCTTACATGGATGCCTTCAAGAAATGGCTTCAGAAATACAACAAAGATTATGCAACAGAGCCTGATTGTACGTACACGCAACCATATCTTATTTTTCATTATCTTTTATTATTTTAATTGTATGTAATAATGATTACTACAGATGTTTGTATGTTTTTACTTTTATAATTGTTTCATTAACTGTGAATGATTATAATCATCATTTTAATTATTATATCAGTTGGTTATTGTTGGTCAACATTATTTTTAACTAATTCATGTCTTACCAAAAATGTTTATAGATTTTCTTATTATATATAATATTATTAAGATTATTACAGAGATTGGTTTTTTGTTACAGTGGTGAGATACCGTTACAAGATTTTTGCAGATAACATGAAAACGATCGAAGAATATCAGAAAAATGAGCAAGGAACAGCAGTTTATGGTCCAACTAAGTTTGCTGACTTGACGAGTAAGTTGATAATGGATGCTCATCTAAAAAGGAGTAATCTATAGTCTTTGATAATGAGTTGATTTCAATTGCCTGACAACGGTACGATTTATAATGTAATGACATCACACATGACAAAGACGTTAGGTTTTCTTTGTCCACTAAATTCTAGGACATGTTTTTTTGGTGCAGAGAATGTGTAACGGTCACAAAGAAGTGAATCCGCTGTTAAGTCTCATCGTTGCAATCAACGCTCTCTCATGATAATATATAAATATAATAATAATACACTTTTTTCTCCTCTGTAGCTGATGAATTTAAGAAGTACCTAGGCCTGTCAGGTCCAATGAAGCCGTCAGGGAAGCCAATGAAACAAGCCACGATCCCAAACATCCAGGAACCAGATGCTTTTGATTGGCGTGATCATAATGCTGTCAGTGAGGTCAAAGATCAAGGCATGTGTGGATCTTGCTGGGCATTCTCAACGACTGGTAACATAGAGGGCCAGTGGGCCATCAAGAAAAATAAGCTCATCTCACTGTCTGAACAAGGTAAAAGCAATTCTGGTTTTTTGTTTGGTGGATTATAATTGGATATTTGTCTCATGGTTTTGGTGAACTTGTCTGGTTCGAGTTGTCTTCGACAAATGTCGGTGATTTGCTGATACGGGCATGATGATGTCATATCACTTGCATATATGGTCATGATGATGTCATATCATGTCATATATGGGCATGATTATGTCTTATCACTTCCATATATAGGCATGATGATGTCATATGTCCATATATGGCATGATGATGTCATATTATTTCCATATATGGGCATGATGATGTTATATCATGTCCATATATGGGCATGATTATGTCATATCACTTCCATATATGGTCATGATGATGTCATATCATGTCCATATATGGGCATGATCATGTCATATCACTTCCATATATGGGAATGATGATGTCATATCACTTCCATATATGGGCATGATAGTGTCATATCATACCCAAATATGAAAAGTCATAGGTATTTTTCACATACAACTCAACAGTGTGGATACAACAGCTATGTCTCTCTATGTGGCTTAGAAACATCATGACCACTAACTAGTATCAGACATGGGATCAATTACAATGAAAATGTAATTAATTACATTTTCACTATACAGCACTACAGTGTTACGATACCATGTGATACTACTCCGTTGCTATCGTTGCAAAATGTGTTCAACCGGACGCCATTTTCCCCACTGACATACCACTGATCCCAATTTCTAACGTAATTATGAAGATGTTGTATCTTAGTTTTTCTTTGTAAATTTTAATTGATGATTAAATGTGTGTTCGATAACTAATATAATGCGAGCTTTTGTGTTTGTAGTATATTTTGATGGTAAAATATTAGATTTTATAATGCCTATTCCAAAAAGCCTATGAAGTCATTCAGGCATAATGAACAGTAACCAACTTCTGGTTGGCAGCAGAGGGCGCTACCTGGTGTTGTGACTTTACAATTCTACTATTAGTAAATTGTAACTTTAGCAATATGTTATTCAAACAAACTGAATTTTAACTTTTTTTCATATACAGTATTACATTGTTTTTAACATTCTTAGAACTTGTTGACTGTGACAAGATCGATGAGGGATGCGATGGAGGTCTGCCAAGCCAAGCTTATGAAGAAATCATTCGTTTAGGTACAGTAGTTAATAATAATTGTTTTAAATTATTTTTGTAGTGTAGTTTATCTGTCACAGTTAAACCCTTATTATAATTTCTGCTCACCATAAAACATTTGTGATAGAAAACAACATATGAAATAAAACAAGTTGATTTCCATTACAGTATACAATTATTATTTAAATGTACTAGGTGGTCTGGAAAGTGAGAAGGCGTACCCTTACAAGGGTATGTGGAGTGATAATTGTACCTTTGATAGGTCAAAGGTCGAGGTATACATCAACAGCTCTGTCAACATCTCAAAAGATGAAGGAGGTATGTTATATAATTATTGTTTTTATAGTAAAACAACTAGACATAATATGTTTGCTTGTAAATTGTATTTTATTTTAACATCCAGAAGTGTAAACACCATTATAAACATAAATATAAAAGAATATGAAAAACAGAACATAGGGCTTCTCTTCATTGACTTAATGAAAAACTGATGTTGAAATTATAAAGAAAGAAAATAACATAAAAAAAAAACTAATAATACAGTAATTAAAAAAATATTAAAATTTTCTTAGTCTTTTAGGAAATACAATCAAAATTGAATATGAAATTTAGAAGAGGAAGTTAGTTACAAATAACATATTTTCTTTTAATATGTTACTAATTAATTGAGATAACATTTTTGTTTTTTATTCAAGATATGGCAAAGTGGCTAGCTAAGAACGGACCCATCTCCATTGGTATTAACGCCAACATGATGCAGTTCTACTTCGGAGGCATATCTCATCCGTATAAGATCTTTTGCGAGCCAACAAAACTTGATCATGGGGTATTGATTGTTGGATACGGTGTCAGTAAGTATCATTATTGTTTTTTAAACACTTTCAGACGGGTTAGAAAAGCAGTTAACTTGTCTGAAGCTCTGGTTAGTGTCTCTGAAAATGCTGCTTGTATTAAATTACTTAAAAGTTAATAATAAATGTGTTACTTCCGTGTACACAAGGAATTTATGGAATACGTGCTCAGAGTAAGTGTTGTGCAGATGCTGTTACTTCAGAGCTCACAAGATAATTTATACAATCTTTATTATGACCTCCAATTTTTGTGTGTCAAGTGTCAAAACAGGTTTTCTATGATGTGTGTACGTTCGTAGACACAGTGTTATAGATGTTAATACAATGTCATGAATTTATGCAAAATAATCATTTTGCAAGACAACAAGATCGGTGCTTGCCACTTTAGTTACTTCTAGGCTTTGAAGTAGCTTTGAAATAAAAGCATCTTGTGGATGTTTGTCTGAAGTTTGTAGGAGTGTGTGCCACAGCGTGTGAGACGTTGGATTTCTGATTAAGAGTTTGAGACTGACGCTCTTCGCATTGCTTGTGTCCTTGGGCAAGGCACTTTACTTACGTTTGCCTCTCTCCACCCAGGGGTATAAATGGGTACCTGGTAGGATGGTATGGTATTGAATGTATGAGGTTGTACACGTAAAGTAGCAATGAATAGGGATACTCACCAGGGAGCAGAGAAGGTTTCACAAAAATGTGCTGGTTTGCCAATTCGGTATCCAGTGACCAGGGAAATAATGGTGTCAGTGCCTTTAGTATATTCTCCGGATTGTGATAGGTGCTATATAAATCCTGATTCTCAACAAAAAAAAATAAATAAATAAAAATTAACGTGCATTTATTTGTACATCTATCTGACATTTACTTTAGACAAAAGGCTGCTTGAAAAATGCTTATTGTTTATGTTTAGCCAATTTAGATAAGAAGAATAACATTCAGTATTTTAATTGCCTGCTTTGTTTATTTTTAGTAAGTAGTATTCTGCTTTCAATTGATAATAAGAACATCTTACAAATTCCAGATCTATGTATTGTACTTTTAATATGTATTTTGCATATAGCGTAAGGGCTTGAATTAGAAGAATAACATTCAATATTTTAATTGCCTGCTTTGTTTGTTTTTAATAAGTATCCTGCTTTCAATTAGTAACTAGAACAACTTGCAAATTCCAGATTTATGTACTTTGCATATATACCGTAGGTGTTCGAATGAGCGCCGCAGCATTTATAAAATTTTTGGAGGCTTCATTGCGGCGCTTATTCTAGAACGGCACTTACAAAAAAATACGGCGTGGCGCTTTCCATGCCCGTTCCCATGTTACCTGTTTTACATATTCCAATAGTTCAGTAGGTCTATCATAGTTCCTATCATTGTAAACAAACATTTTTAAAGAAATGCTTGTGTCTGCATTATTTTAATTATTCACTGTATACATTGTATTTAAAACCCTGTTTTATAACACACGGTAATATTATATAATCTCCATTAAGCGCCGCGGCGCTTAACGAAAAAATCATGTTTGTTGCGGCGCTTAATCGAGAGCGGTGCTTATTCGAGCATTTACGGTATATCCTTTGGCTAGCAGGAGTATAAATTCTTTAGGAAACACTGCTTATAAAGTGCACCTCTAGAATGCCATCTCGAGACACCTAGTGGGACTGAGGTGGGTTTGGTTCCTCTGTCGGAAATCCTGTACTCCTCATTATGGGCCTTTGACATACCACATCCTATGTCAAATTTTAACGTTATATTGTGTTTAGAATAATAGTAATATACCATATTATTCGAGAAGGGTTTATTTGAGGGGGCATTTATTCGAGGGAGGCATATATTCGATTGAGGCATTTATTTTTTTTGGATACATATATACTCAAATTAACACCCCTTAATTTCACTGTATGTGGAACTACAACATAATTACCGTCAAAATGTGTTATTGCGTGATCATGAAGAATTATTGAGGTAACAAGGTTTGAAAAAATATAATTCTACTGCAATAGACTTTTATTCAAGGGAGGTGTTTATTCAAAATGAGGCTCCTTGGAGGGGACATTTAATCGAGGGGTGTGTATTTAAAGCGGAGGCTTTTATTGCTGCGAAGCAGCCAATTCATATTCTTGACAGCAATTTGACCTCTGAAAGGTCATTGTTTGTCAAAAAACGAGTGCCTAAGACGACTGAAAAGCAGAGTTTCCTTCTTTCGTTCTGCCGGGTAAAATCAATTACTTTAGGCGACGTTTGTAGAC